CCGCCCCAAACGCCGGTGTTCGGACGGCGTTCGGACAGAAAAGTGCTGGACAGAAAAGTTATGCCGATTGAGACTTATGATGTTAATATTAGAGATGAGTTGAGGAGACATTATTTGAGAAAAGGTCCTTGCCAACCGCATGACTTTAAATTTCCACAAAGTGATTTTAATGAGTGCAACAGATCATTCCAAAAACAGTGGTTTTATTTAAATTTTATAGTTTTGTTTATTGCTATACTCGTGATGCATATGATTTTTTTCTAGAATAGTATATCATTTCTTTGTTATTGTGCCCCTGCGAGTCACGAGTCCTGGTTCCGCCACTGATAGCGACGGTGCATGTATGGTGGCCGCTGGTTAAGAGATGATGCGGGGGGAGTTAGTTTGGTGGCCAACAGCACAAGGGCGGTGGCAGGCAGTGCTGCCGGAAAGAAGTCAACGGGGGGGCTCTGCGTATAAAGAGAAGAAACAGGTCTCTGCGCAGAAGGAAGAAGAAAGGGGGAAAGAGAAGAGGAAAAAAAAGGAGAAAAAGGAAGAGAAACGAAAATGAAAAAGAAAGGGAAAAATGGAAAAGAAACAAAATCCACATGTACTGCCACGTGGGCTATTACCTGGGAAACCTGAAATTTACTTGCTAAAAACCTTAATTGATCGATTTTTAAATGTTCGAGTGTTCAATCGGGTGTTTTTCGAGTACGATGGTCTAATTGTTGTTTTCGTTATAGTACGGGGACCTATCTGATAGTTTTCCCTTAAATTTAAAAACCATAAAAAACTACTTAAAGTAGTCTTTTCATTCTTAGTTTCACATCAAGAGTAAAATCAAAAGGGCGTTAACATAAGACAATAAACGTAAGGTTATGGCAAACGACCCAAGGGAATCTAAAGAGTACAAAAAACGTCTCATAGGCCGTGAAACTTCTCATACACCTTTTAATTAGACTGAAATTTTCTAATTTGAGCTGATCTATTTAGGTTTAGTTTGATAGAATTTCGTCTATTATATAAATTACATGGTTGGGTAGATGTATGTTTTATGTGTGTTTCACAACTGTCAAATTCTTATCTTGTCTGATCTAGTTTGGTCTGATAAACACTGTAAATTGAACGGAGCAACTTGAGGATTAAGAAAACATGAACAATATTTCTCATTTTAAAAACCGGAGAACCAACACTACTCTCAATATAATGCGATTTATAATGAACATGCATGTTGGTGACTAGGTGTGCTCATTATATTTCTGTAATAACATTTGCATTTTCAATATTATATAACAACCTGATTACCTCCTCCTGGTTTAAAGAGTTATAAACAAAATTGATGATAGAGAGCTTAGAGCATCTCCAATATAACGGAAAAGTATTGACATTATTTACATGGCATTAGAGATGGATCCATCGACAGTTTTCTACTCTCACTTATTTCAAGTATTAACTTTCTAATTAGCTACTACTTATTCACAATGTCAGATAAACACACTCTCACAAGGAAAAGAATAATATTGTCTATGTCTCTCATGCCACTTAAACATCGCCGACACTTTTGAATTGATGATACTCTTAATTAGAATTGACGATATTTCATTGGAAAGTACCGGTCAAATTTCTCTCATTGACAAACACTATATTATGGTAATAGCAAATGTCAAACAAGGTCACTACTAACGTCTCACGGTGGTTTCTAGCTGAAATCGGTGACGCAGGTGGCATGAGTGGGCCAGTGTGAGCATCTCTTATGATTCATTTAAATTAAGGACTTGCTTGTAATTTTAAAACTAATAGCTTACCGTTGAAGCAATGTTATTCATTTTGTTTGAGAAAACTAATTAACCAAAATGAGCTACTAGCTTGAGCAATGAAAATTATTAAATATATCATTATTAATAATAAATGAATAAGAAGAGATTCCTAACCATTGGAGTATATTTTACTTTTGATGCAAATGCTTATATGAGTAGTCAAGCTATAAGAGCGATTAGCTAACCGCTGGAGATGCTCTGAGGCAGCGGTGAGCAGCTTGGTAGGGATTTAAAGCAGCTTGCTAAGTATAACCTTTTAAATTCACACTTCTTCCATAAAATTTTCCAAGAAGTATTCCAATTTGTGTAGCGCTGTTGGTCTATGCTACGCAGGTCTCCGCAAACAGTCAATGCGTGTTTCTTGCCACGAAAACAAAGGTTAACATGGAACTCCAATGTAATTATAATAAAAGTCTTTAATTTGTAATAATTAACAAATGACTTGTCAAACTCAATCAGTAAATACTAAAAAAAAAGAAAACACAATCAGTAAATTCCGATCGAATAGTCTTGAGTCTTGATAAGTACTCGCGTTTGTCTCTAATTGAAAGTTATTGTTATCAACAATTCTTTTTATACTTCCAAAGAATGGTTAAGAGTTAATTATACTCACATTTGTCTTTTTATACTAAAAGTCACTCACTTTGCATAAATAAGATCAAAATATAAACTATGTTTTCATAAGACTAATTATGTGTGTCTTGGACAAATATACCCTTATAGCTATTGAAATGTTTTAATTCATAATAAAATAATAAAAAAATAATAATAATTCGTAAAAAATACTAAAAAATTAATAAAAATATTTCGATAATAATAATTTATTTATTTATTTTTTCAAAAAATAAAAAAAAATAAAAAAAATAAAAAAAATAAAAAACTCAAAAAAATAAAATAAAATTCACCGCCGCCTCTGCTGCCTCTGCACCACCACCTTCAGTCACCAGGGGGAAAAATGCCAAGTTCATTATGAATGCCACATTTTCAGAAAAAATGGCATTTTTTAGGAAAATGACATTTTTTCACCGCTCTAGAGATGGTGGTGCAGGGAGGTAGTACAGGCGGTGGGAAAGACATCCATATTTTTTTAATTTTTTTATGGAGTTTTACTATTTTTTATTAATTTTTTTAAAAAATAAAAAAATTCAAAAAATTATTTTTTAGTTTTTTATTTTATAAATAATTTATAAATTTTTTAATTATTTTTCTACGAATTTTTGAATTTTTTTCGAATTTATTATCAATTAAACATTTAATTAACTCATATTTAAAGGAAGGATAAGAATGTGATGAAAAAATAGGTATGTTTTCAATAGGACTAATATGGTCCTATTTTGAAAAGAAAACATAGTAAGTCATATTTTGAGTTTTTGACATAGTTTTAGTCATATTTTGAGTAATTTCTAAATGGTTAAATAAGATTTTTAAACCAGATTAGCCACAAATAATATTACAACCATAATAATTCGTTCAACTTACTTAAATAACTCATATATTAATGAATGATGACAAGTCATTTTTACCTTCCTAATTGAATTGTGATTTCAATTATGAATTGTGATTTGTTTTATTTAGGGATTGGTGATTGAGGGGGTGTTCATATGAAATAAAGTCCTGTTCTTGACATGTTAATTTTATGAATTTTATATAGTTTTTGTTTGAATAATGTAATTATAATTGTGTGAATGATAAGTTAATTATGAGAGATTTAAATTATTTTAACACTTTCACACACACATTAACACATTCTAAGAGACTAGCACTGTCAGGTGACTCTTACACTCACTCATTTAGCACAATGTAGAGCCGTAGAGGTATGTTACATGAAAATTAAGTCTTACTTTTAGCTCGCGAGATCGGTAAAAATTTAACTTTGATAATGTTTCTCAATTATATAATTTTCATGTAATTAATTCTAACCTATTCTCGAAACATATAAGCATATGACTTGAACCAATCCAGCAATCCCTGCTCTCTTTTGCCATTCAATTGTAAGTTCAAATTAATTTAATCCATTTTTATTAAATTTATTTCTCAAACAACTCTCACAAAACTTTTTTCAATTATTTCAATCACAATGTTTAAAAAAATCAACGCTCAATTCCTTTTTATTGTCTCTGTTTAAACGATAATCATACTTAACTCTATATTATCTCAATGACCTCTTGGTCAATATTGAGTGAGAGAGGGTTCTTATAAACTTTTTACTCAAATGTATAGGTTCAGATCCCTGCAGTTGTAACGATAATTAATATTAATATTGTATGAATTGAAAGTGATCGTTAGTGGAAATCAACAGCTAGATTGGAGAGCGACTCTGTATTAAAAGTAGTTCAGATATTGAAAAGGGAGGAAAGGTAAAATGAGATACTCGATTATTAAAGAATTTTATATACACTTGACTTTTCACCCCTAAATTAAGCCAATGATTTGTTAGTTGGTACGATGATTCACCGTAGAAGAATCTTATGCGAAGCAGAATTCAAAATAATTAAAGTGATTTCAAACTACGACCTATGGTTGGCTCAACTTCGGGCAGTTTAATTTCTTTCACTTTTTGTAGCGTACATTTTTTCATTTTAACTTGATTCATAAATGTTTAAGTCTACTATAATTGCTCTTTAGCTCTCTAAGACATTAAAAAATTGTATAATAACTACCGTTGATATCATTTCTCTCCTCTTCAAGTATATTTCGATCACAATTTACTTCTAAAAAAACTGCGACCAAGTATGGATAATATAAAGTCATTGTTTTTAAGCCACTGTTTTTTTATATTTTTTGAATAATAATAAATTAGTAGGAATATAATGGGGGTGTTTGACAATTGGTTGTTGGCTGTTGGTTGTTGGCCGATTCTGTCAGCTGTTTTATGATATCTGTTTCTATTGGCTGTTTTGATTAGCTGATAGTATTAGCAGTTTGTAAAACAGTTGATAACAAGTTTGTAAATGTCCTTTAAGGACATCAATTTTTTTTTAATTGTGCACTTATACACACACGTATCATAGTACTAATGTTATTAGTATCAATACTTAAATCATTGATTGATTGGTTATGAGTGCTAATATTTGATCAGTTGATGGCGACGACTCCAACTAATTCCAAAGTATTCGACAATTCAGTATTAGCTAATTTTCGGTTGTGGAATTAAATGTTTGTAAATTTCTTTGGTTACAAGTTTAAGAAACAAAGATCTATGTAGCATTCATTATCTGGTGTTCCGGTTACTAGACAACCTGCATGCAGTGCTAAATATTTCAATTTTCAAAATTGTAAGAATCCTTTTCAAAATTGATATCTTCCTTGGCCTGGCATCTCCAAAGCTCCACGGCGGTGTTTTACAAAATTGATATCTTCCTGTCTGGCATCTCCAAAGCTCCACGGCGGTGTTTTACAAAATTGATATCTTCCTGTCTGGCATCTCCAAAATGCAGGTTTATCAATATATGCTTGAGTTTTACACACCATTACTACAATTTAAAAATTAAGCAAAGAGATTGTACATACTTATGTGTGAAATCGTAGGAAGCCTGCGTGAAATCGTAGGAAGGGAATTTCAGAAATATTAAGATGGAAACGGGAAGGCCAACACCTAAACGCTAGGTTTATTGGGATAAAGGCCAAATTAAAAAGCTACTTTACCAAACACACATATTGGCTGATTGATCAAGTCAAAAGGCTAATATTGGTCAAATCAGCCAAAAAATGGCTGATAGGCCATTAACGAAACACCCCCAATATATGGTGTCTCAAATTGTGATACAAACTCAAAATTTCAAAGAAAAAAGCGGTCGACTCCCTCTTGTAGGGTTTGAGAATTTCGGCGCCAACTGTGCGCCGTCGTCTTTGGCAGTCAAGCGGAAGGGCCGTCGTCTTTGACAGTCAAGAGAAAGGGCCGTCGTCTTTGGCAGTCAAGCGGAAGGGCCATCGTGCGTCAACGGCGCTGCTCTTGCTTCACCGGAGTGTGTTTTGGGATTGGGTTAAGGCAACAGTTTGTCCACAATAGCTTTCTCTTAAGGGAGCTTTTGAAAGGTCAGCGAGAGATTATGATGGAGATGGACGAGATGGTTAGCAAGTGCGACAACATGGTCCACGGAGGGGAGGAGGAAGAACTGGTTCTGGACGAGGAAATGGACAGCGGGGAGGATTCTTCGATCCGCAGCGCTATCTTCCCGGTTGTTGGCACTGTTCTCACAGACAGAATGGTGAAGTTCCTGATGTTCAGGAATCTCATGGTTTCTATTTGTCCACTAGTGCAAAATCGCTAATCAGATACGCTTCAAATGGCTCACGTGCGGCGCTTTGAAGCGCCTCTAAAAAATGTGCGGCAAATCTCAATTGGAGGCGCTTTTTAGACTGGAAGCGCCTCTAATATTTAAAAGAAATATCCATCAAAGAGATGGGAGAGAAGAGGTATTAGTTTACTTTTTACCATATTGTTGATATGGAGCGAGTCCTAGGAGGTGGACCGTGGTTATATGAACAAAACTTGCTGATATTGAGGACGCTGAAACCGGGGGACGCCCCTCTTCGGGTTCCCCTAAATTAGGATGACTTTTGGATACAAGTTCATAATATACCTTATGATTTGATGAATTTAGGGGTGACTAGGAGGGTTGGTAATTTTATTGGTAAATTTATCGATTTTGACGAAAGTAAGATTGCAGAACGTTGGAACTCATACATGACAATTAGGGTCAGTATGGATGTGAGGAAAGCCCTGAAAGTGGGTATGACATTGAGGAAAGGGAGGGGTACATGCCATAGGGTGGAGTTCAAATATGAAAAACTACATAGCTTTTTTTTTTGCTTGTGATATTATTGGTCACGCAGACATGTTTCGACCCTTGGCATATGACTGAGAGAACAAAATTTTGACTAAATCGTTTGGGGTTAGTCTTCGAGCGGGTGGGGGAGGGAAAACTCAACGGATGAGGGGTAACAAATGGCTAGTTACAGAAGACCCCTTAAGTGGAAGCGGATCGAGTAAGCAGGGCAAGCAAGAAGGCATCATAAGTGCCAAAGATGAGGTATTTGGGTCAGAGGGGCAGCGTGGGGTAAGCAATGTGGTAGATACTGGTACAAAGGAAGCAAAGGAGAACGAAATAGTAGCTATGGAGGGACCTTCAGGGGAGCAGAAACGTAGAAGAATGTGGGAGGCAAAGGAGCATGAGGGGGATGAAAGGGTCAATATGGCATTGGACTTTTCAAAAAACGAAGAAGGGCGGGTCTCGGACACTAGAATCAGAGGATTTTTGTTAGCTGTGTGTGGGTGCAACTGAATTCTCACTACTTTATTTTCGTTGTTATTTTTTTTTTTTTGATCAGACTATCGTTGTTGCTTTCTGTTTTGTTTATTTCATTAATCAGATTCTTGCATTAGGTTGGGGTGATGAGGGGTCTATTCTAACCGCATTAGGCTCATTTAGACTCATTATAGGATTAGCGAGCCATATTGCTTTTTCCAGGGTGATTGACTCTAAGTCTGGTTCGAGGATCGTTGATTGGAAGTGATCCTTTTATCTTTTTGTTACCTTAGTGAATGCTTTAATATCAATATTTTCTGCTAATTTTTTTAAAGAGTTATTTGTATCGTCCCAACTCATTTTGGACCCATGTCTAAGCCACTACTGATACGACATGAAAATATAGAAATAGTTGGCAAATGTCAAAATGATACAGTAATAGATTATTAGATTTAGTGGGTTTAGAATAGTGGTAATATTATTTCATTTGGTTAAGTCAAAAGTGAAACACTTGATTATGCACGTAGAGTATGAGTCTCATTATATTTAGGTTTGTAGCTTTAATAAAAAGTTTTAGAAAATGAGCTTGTAGTGTCTGGCAATACTACAATTGTAGTTTTTAAGTCCTCGTTTGTTTTGGTTTGATCACATCATTGTAAAACTTTGAAGGAGAAGGTCACATATTCGAAACTCATCAGGATGTCGGCATTTAACAGAAAATATACTATAAGAAAAGAGAAAGTACAAAAAAAGAATCCTCGCCTCTACTTTATATTGTTTCAGATTTCTCTTTTTATTGCTTTATTTACTCGGTGTCTTTCATAGACTACGCAAATATCACGCAACTTTTCTTTCTCCAACTCCAATTTTCAAGCTAAAGTACGGAAGTTCATTACAAGGGCGGATATACCTTAGATAATGAAGGCGGGTCTCCCCAATAAATTAATATATGATGAAAATTTACAGTTAATTACGGAGTATAAAATAGTTTGCCCAACGAATGTTTTGGGTTTCCCCCAATAATTGTTTCGTTACAGGAGTATTATTTATTCGAATTGAGATCGACCACTCTATTGTGATATATTGATAAAAAATATTTGATCGCTCGTGTGAGTTAATATCGGTTCTGCTTCTGGTCCAAAGCGGAACATTTGATCACTCATGTGTGTTTTAGCCTTCTCCCAAAAAGTTCTCTCATATTAACTTTTCTTGACCAACGATGGAAGATTTTGTACAATGATTTTAATTATTATATTTTTATATAATTTATAAATTTTGTACTTTTATTAAAATATTTTGAATAAGGAACATTTTCATATAATTTTCATATTCAAAATAATTTTGTATTAAAAAAAATCATTGGTCAAAGTTGATTGTCACTGACCAAGAAAAGTCAGTTTGACGAACTTCTTCGAGACGGAGGGAGTATTTCATACCCGCAGTCTGCTATGTATTTCCATCCGACAAAGTATGTTGGGAGCCCCAATTGTCTATTGTTTTCCCACATCTGATATCAGTAAAACAATCAGACACTATACTAACATGTTGAACTATTCCTTCAATCAGGTTGACCTTTGATGATGTAATCTCGTGTCTTAACATGATATCAGAGCTAAATCGACCCATAATCACGGTGTAGGTCCTCTATGACAATGACTAATCGATAAAGAAATGAATGGTGACAAGATGCAGATGAAGTGTCTGGTCGTGAGGAGAGATGTTGTTGTCTCATACTGGATAATTATTTCTAAAACAATTAAACACTATATTACGATGAGTATCAACTCATTCCTAGTTTTCTTTAATTTAAATGGTTACATGCGTTTGAACATTAATATTTGATTCACTCAAAATTGATTTTGAGACGTATGAAATGCTAAGTTCAATCACCGAATGTAGTTCCAAATAGATAACTTATTTAACATAATAACAAATAAAGTCGACTCAACACCAGTTTTAACAATCCTCCACATATAAGATACCACCAAATGTACGAATATGGACATATGCTAACACGAAAAATACTTAATAGAAATAAATCAAATTGTTATACCATTACTATCATCACATTCTTTAGTTCTCAGTGGTGTATCCCTTTTGGTGATGGACACACCTTCTCACATTTCATAAGTGTTTTTGATTGTAGCATTCCCACTTCACCTCACATCGGTGATGTGATATGAAGAGAATCACACCGGCTATTCTCTTAGGAATTATAAATAATTACCCACAGAGGTAGCTCAATTTGAAGATTTGAAGAATGATCAATGATCAAAACCCGCAAAGATCATGTGGAGGTTAGAGCTTCTGTTTGATTGTCTGGATCTCTGGTGGTACAAGGTCTATCACCATTGGGTTGATTGAGTCACCGTGACTTACAACCTCTCAAAAGTCTTGTCGGATCGGGGCATGGAGGACCCTTGAGATTGAGGATTCAACCTTTTGGAAGAAGAAATTATAAATAATTAAGAGTGTCAAACATTAGCACCTATAACTTATTTTTCCCATTAAACTAGCTTCTTCAGAACTCCGTCCCAAATTATTTTGCAAAGTCAATATTTTTTGCTCAATCACTTAAAGTTAATTCCTCCCAATAAATAAATAATCAATTTTAATAGTTAAAATTTATATATTCAAAAACTAGATTAAAATCTTTATAAAGTTACATAATCCAAATTAATTTTTAATTTAGAATTGATATCAGATCATCATTAACTTAATAAAATGAAATTGTTTGATCCAAAAAGTAAAAAACAATAAACTATGACTATTTTCAGAAGATTTTTTTTTACGTGCGGAAACTAATAAGAGTTTCGCAAACAATAAACTTATTAATTAGTTTATTGTTTAAACTCTTATTGTTTAAATTCTTATTAGTTTCCACACTTGACTATTTATGATCAAAGACTCTTATTAGTTTCCACACTTGAGAAATACAGTTCTTAGGAATGCCTAATTATATTCACCCCTATTTTTACTTTCACAACTATGTGTAAACATCAATTAAATAAACATTTCGGGGGTGTATTGAATATGGATTGTGGCGGATTTTTTTTTAATTCGTGGACTGTTAAAAAAGTCAATGGACTTTTAAAACGATAGACTTTTTTTATGAACAAATTCGATGGACTTTTAAATTCATGGATAAGTTTGTTGACTTTCAAAAAGTCCATAGACTTTTAAAAAGTCCATAGATTTTTAAATGCGGACTGTCATTGCTGGGCGTCAAAATTTTCACCTAGATTGCCATTATCGATCTGCCCGTCGGCCTCCGTCACCGGATTTCCCCGCTGGCGTCATCGGACTGATCCGCCACCAACAAAATCGATTTGGTTATGCAAAGGAACTAGGGACAATTAATTTTATTAATTAATTAAATTAGGGGTGAATGTGTAATATTTAGTCCTATTTAAGGAAAATCAAACATATGATCATACTTTAAGAAGAATGTTACTCCGTATGTTTTGGTCCTGCCTTGAGTAATTTCCTTTGTATAATATGGAGTATGATAAGAAACAAAACAAACAAACAAACAAACAAACAAGCAAACAAGCAAACAAACAAACAAACAAATAAATATATAAATAAATAAATAAATAAATAAATAAATAAATAAATAAATAAATAAATAAATAAATAAATAAATAAATAAATAAATAAATAAATAAATAAATAAATAAATAAATAAATAAATAAATAAATAAATAAATAAATAAATAAATAAATAAATAAATAAATAAATAAACAAACAAACAAACAAACAAATAAACAAACAAACAAACAAATAAATAAATAAATAAATAAATAAAAAGTAATTCATATAGCAATAGAAAGTTCTACAAGAATAAATAGAGCATAAGAATCTAAATTTATTTTTATTAAAATAAAACTCAAAACTCAAAGAATTTTGATTATTTTATTAATGAGTAAGAACATTTATCGTTACACAACTGTTACACTCATTGCTACATGTGTTACACGCATAAATGCAATTGAGCTTTTCTTCTGAATAATTATTTTCTCTTCATTTTTATCTTGTAAAATTTTGTATACTTATTTACGGTTATATATTTATTAATTTGAAATTATATGTTTATGTTTTAGCGATTTAACGATGAAAGAAAGTAATAGTTAAAATATTTATTTTCTTAATGGTTAAGTGACGACGTACCAGAATTGCACTGATGTAATACTATCGATTCTTATACCAGAACTGGGATAAACGAATATGGGATTAACGAATCAAGGGGGAATCGAGGGGGCGGGGTGGGGCAAGTCGAAGAAGAAAAAGAATGGAAGGAAGAGGTGGGGCGAGCTGGGCTGAAGAAGAAAGATCGAAGGGGAAGGGGTGGCTTGGCTATAGAAGAGGAGAGTTGGGGGGAGGGGAGGGATGGGGTGGGACGAGATGAAGAACCGATATAAGAAAAGTTCACGGAAATCTTTAGTGAGGAGAAGAGACAATTGCAGAGAATTAATGTACTAATTCAAAATGAGTTAAAAGTGCATGAGAATCTACGATTTTAGAAATCAATAAGAATGAACGGAACTTTGAATATGTCTAGACTTTTATAGACTTTTAAAAGTCTACATTAAATACACGTACACTTTTGTAGACTTTTAACTCCTCATGCAATACCCCTTCATTTATATTTTTGATTCCGTACATAAATGTAATTCCACAATCACTTAGCTGATTTACCTAAAGTTTTTTAAACCGATGTAGGTATTCATGATATTTACTAACTTTTTGCATCAATCTAAGGAAAAGTCGATAAAGAAAGGGAACAATTTATCTCGGCTAAAAATTTGTGTCTATTACATACTAATTTCCGATCATAAATTTCACGGAGTATGATTTATAATGTACATCTTTGACGACTACTTTTTACTAGTCCCTCTTATATACGAAGTATTAATTAATTATACGTAGTATATTAAAGCATATGATTACTTTATGAGAGCGGTTCCGTTAAGAACGAATCTTATGAGAGAAATGAGAACAAATCTGGATCGTTGGATTGAATTGTGTGGAACTAAATTGTGTATTTGGTGAAACCGAAATGTGCATTAGATGATATTGAAATGTGCAGAATTAAAATTTAAACTCACATGTGCATTAGGTTAAACTGAAATGTGCAGAATAAAAGGTACAAAAATAACATCACATCGTACCTTTTATTCTGCACATTTTAGTTTCATCTAGTGCACATTTCAAATTCACCTAATGCACAATTTAGTTTCACATAATGCCACTACAATTTACCTTTTGTGCTGCACATTTCATTTCACCTAATACACATTACATCTTCATCTAATGCACATTGTATTTCTCATAAAGCAAATCTAATGGTCCAAATTCATTCTCATTTTTCTCATAAGATCGTGTTCTTATTTGAACTAAAAACTATATATGTGTATGTGTGTATATATATATATATATATATATATATTAAGATACTCTTTGACAATTTGTTCTATTACACTGATATATATACGGATCGGAGTATATACTTCTGAGGTTTTGGTTCAAATAAGAACATAATCTTAGGAGAGAAATGAGAACGAATCTGGACCGTTAAATTTGTTTTAAGTGAAATTCAATGTGCATTAAATGAAACTGTAACGTGCATTAGGTGAAATTGAAATGTGCAACACAAAGCATACGATACAATGTCGTTATATGAAGCTGAATTGTGCATTAGGTGAAATTGAAATGTGCACTAGGTGAAACTGAAATGTGCAGAATAAAAGGTACAATGTGTTATTTTTGTACATTTTATTCCGCACATTTCAGTTTCACCTAATGCATAATTGAGTTTACATTTTTATTCTACACATTTCAGTATCATCTAATACACATTTCAGTTTCATCAAATGCACAATTGTGTTCCACATAATACAATCCAACGATCCAGATTCGTTCTCATTTCTCTCCTGGGAGTCCGTTCTTACCGGAACCACTCCCTATATATATATATATATATATATATATATAATATTGGCATACTTTAATAAGAAATTATTCAAAGTAGGAGTATCGCATAGGACCAAAATATTAAGGGTGTGTTTGCTATAACTATATGAAAAAATACTTTTATGAACTTTTTAGTATATGTTAGCTTTTGGGTATTGAAAAGGTTTTAAGAGGGATAGAAAGTGGTTGTTTGATAAAAGACGGATTGTTTGATTTAGCTTTCTGGTGTAGGATAAAACACACTAGAAACCCATCATTTTCCTAATTTTTCAGGAGGGCAAATAATTATATTAATTAATCATATTAGTGTTTAAATATATTTTTAGTCATGCACATAGAATACATTTTGTTCTAAATCACTGTATTTATTTATTTTTTCATTTCTGAAATTAATATTATTCAAAAACTATTTTATTTTATTTTTTGAATCCAAATTTAAAAAAATGTGAATAATTAGTTAATTTTATGCTCCGTATTGTTTTACCTTCTACATTAGCCTCAACTCCAATAAATTTTTCTCTAATTTCATTGACTATTGTTAACAAATTTGAGCTCTAGTCTAGAATCAAAACCAAAAACATTTAAAACAAATACAAGAGATGGTCACCCGGAACACGTAGAAAACGTAAGAAAAATCAAATCTGAAAATTTCCTGAAAACAGAAAGGAGAATCAATCAAGAAATGAAAATACTAAAAGACGAAAAATTAGGAGAATGTTGCAATTGACGATTCACCGATGGACAAAGCTTCTAAATTTAGTCACCGCTCTTATCGGTGGCCTCTCCTATATAACCAAACCCTCCCTCATCTCCAATTCTCATACTCAATCCTTTAAGCCCATCATCTCTCTTCTCTTCCTCCTCTAATCCCAAAACAATCCATTTCATTAAACCCTAAGAAATGGCTTCTTCAATCAAACTCTCTTTGATTGTCTTCTTTGCCTGCTCCCTTTTCCTTCAAGGCACTTTGGGTAAGAATATGCATATTTCCTTTTTCTATTTTCTCTGTGTCGTTACAATTTTATCGATCAGGTGTCGCCGGGATATTTCCTTTTTCTATTTTCTCTGTGTCGTTACAACAATTTTATCGATCAGATGTCGCCGGGATATTTCCTTTTTCTATTTTCTCTGTGTAGTTACAATTTTATCGATCAAGTGTCGTCGGGATATTTCTTTTTTTTCTATTTTAGTTTTGCCCATAATTTTCTTGATCAGGTGTCCCCTAGATGTTTCTCTTTTTTCTTTTATTTTCTCATAATTTTCTTGGAAATGTAAATGAACTTATATTAGTTTCATTCATATCATTTCTAACTTATATAGAATAATAATCTTTAATTGGAATGGCCGCTGGCCGGCCGGCTTAATGATTTTCATATGGATAGATTTCCAACAATTTAATTAATGTGATTTCTATTAGTCAATATATATCGTATCATCATGTAGTTCGTATGAGGGATTTTAATTAATGTTTCTTCATTTTTCCAAAAAAAAATATTAATGTTTCTTGAAAAAGTCAAAACCTTGTTTGCATATTTCCTTAAACTCTGACACAAAACTTAATCATTTCATCTCATTTTGAACAATTTCTAATCTTATTTCAATTGATCACAATAGGGGAGATTGTATGTGAGGAATTGCCCAAAGAAAATTGTGCATTTTCGATCGCCTCATCGGGGAAGCGGTGTCTGTTGGAGAGCTCGCCGACTGGAGAAGGGGAGGTGGAATTCCAATGCAAGACGTCGGAGGTGGTGGTGGGAATGATGGCGGAGTACATAGAGACCGACGACTGCGTCGCGAAATGTGGCGTTGAACGGAACTCGGTCGGACTTTCATCGGATTCCTTGATGGAGACAGAATTCACCAGGAAGCTTTGCTCCTCAGAATGCCACCAAAACTGCCCCAACATCGTTGACCTTTACTTCAACATGGCTGCTGGCGAAGGTATATACACAAATTTTAATTTTCTTTTCTTCTTGATTATACTTTTCTGCACCCTTTCCGGAATAAACTTCGCCGTCTGATTTTCAATGTTTTAATGCCCCTTATATCTAACCAATTATACTTTATATTATCTAAAAAGTAAGAATAAAATGTTATTTTCTAATAAATATAAGAGTCGCGGCTTTCATATTATAATACGGAGTAAATACTAAGGAATATAATTTGTGAAATCTTGAGGGTTATATTAATGTTGATGACCGTTGCCATAAAAGTCAAAAAGTGAGTTAAGAACTTGAGAAATTTTAAACGATTGACTTCGTAGTTCTTATAATGTAAGTCATGACGAAGCATTATTTATGATTTATGAACGTTCTTGTTGCTAGGCTTTTATCATGTTACATATATATTTCCTCTCCCTAATTAAACTTTCAATTTTCTTTTATCGTTCACAACATTTTTTACACATTTATAACTCCCTAAAATATCCACTATTTTAATCTCCATGCCATTGGATCCCGTCAATTCTGATCATGACATTTCCTAATTTTGACAATCCTGATATCGATGATATGCGATTAAGTGTCAATCATGTCTAACTTGGACGGGATCGGGATTATTGATGTCTTGATCTCGTCTCTTTTGGGTTCTACTTCTCGATCTCAAGAAACAGAACCTAAAAGACTTCAACTTTGGGAATTGTTGAGATTCATTATCGAGACCTTGATTTAATGGTGATTCTAATGTCGGGATAGCAACTCAACGGGACAGGCCGGGAGAGATCAACCAAGATCTTATTAGTGATCTACTTGTAATGAGACCATCCTCATTATTGAGTGTTCTAATATTACTATTCTTATTTATCACCTACTTTGCACGTGGTAAAGTTCATCGAGACAGAGGTACTATGATTTAGCACGTACGTTAGTTAATTTGAACGGTTTGTACGTGATTATGAAAAATTGTAGGGGTCTATTTGCCGGAGCTGTGTGAGAAGCTAAAGAACAGCCCCCACCGAGCGATGATTGAGTTGTTGAGCAGCGGAGCAGCGGATACTGCTGCCGATAGTCCTGTCACCACCGCTGCTGCTCCTGCCGACTTTTCAACTGCCGCCTCTCTCGCGGCTGCCCCTGCAAATGCTCCTGCTTTTGTGTAATACGGAGTATTATACATTATGGAAGCATTTATCGCGGATCAGATATCCTCATATATGTATTTTTATTCCCTGCACGGCTTCTTATACGTACTGCCTTTTCTGTGGTTATCATGTTATAGAGAATATGTAGTGCCCCGCTGTACTGTTTGTTTATGAGGATGAGGACGATGATGAAGAGATCATATATCATGTGCGTGCTTTATAGTTCAATTTATATAATTCATCATATCCTTCTTATTTACTTGTACCTGGTTTTTATGTCACCAAATCAATAAATATGAGGTACTTTTTGCTTCTCAAATACTCGAATGAAATGAATGAAAGAGTGCCATATCATAGTGAAACTTTACTACATCATATAGTACCATACTACTATTCCGTCCCTTAAAACTTTGACAAAGTTGACCGACACGGAGAATAATAAAGTAAAAACTCTGTGCTTGAGCATTGTGAAGAGGAGAGAGAAATAACAGAAAACACAAAATAATTGATTAAAAGGGAAAGCGATAAAGTTTTTTGGGACGTACCAAAAAAGGAAGATAGTCCTAACTTTTAACCACGCATTAACAAATATAATGGATTATAACTGAAATTATCAGATTTAAGGTCGTAGTTTACTAAATTATCAAGTTCTAAGAACACTAGAAGCACGATGCAATAAAGATCGGAAATTACGAAGGTGGAAGGTCTGAAGCATGATGTCTGATTAATTAGTATTCTCTATATTCAACGGAGAAGTGATTCCCGAATCCCAATCATTGATTCCTCCTTCGTACATATGACCAAAGCTTATAAATGAAATGAGCAATAATACCTACCCGCACGGGTAGCTCAGTTGATTCAGTGATGGGAAATTTTGATCAAGTGACCAAGGTTCGAAACCCGTAGCGGTCGTGTGGAGGTCACAGAACCTGAAATAAGGCTAGGCTTCTGGTGCGCACGGGAAAAAGGCCTACCATCATTGGGCCGACTGAGTCACCGTGATTAACATCCTCCCAAAAATCCTGTCGGGTCGGGTTATGGGAGACTCCTGGGGTGGGAGATTCCACCTTTTGGACCAAGCAATAATACCTAATACCTAATGGGCCTAATAAGGAAACAAAAACAGGGAGCCTTATATAAGTACAGGCCCTGTGCGACCGCACTTGTTTTACATGGTCAGGGTCGGCCCTACACATTGTCTAGTTTCTATGTTCACGGAGGCTTTGGAACGAGCTGCCTGCAATGTACACATGCAACAAGGGAGGTGTGTGCAACAAATGTATACAAAAAAATGTATAAATGATTTTTTCATGTCTATTACTCTATATCAAATAGATATAGTTATTTAAATAGATTCCTGGTGTTATTTAGAATTCTTTCACTTAGATGAGAGTCTATGTCATACCGAATATTTGAATGTCATATTGAGTATTTGATAGAGAGATTCTAAAGTATGAGTAAAAGTGTTTTTCAAAATAGAAGTGCTATGTTTTTCTTTTCGAAATATAATTGAAGTAATATGACAGTGTTTATTGATATCTTATTCACTATTGCCAAAATATAGTTGCACTATATTTTGGCATCAGGAAAAGAAACATAACAGTAATATTTTGTAGTTTAAGAACGTTTTTACTCGTATTTAGAACAATTCTGCTATATGATGTTGTACAATGTTGTACAAGTGTACAACTTCGGTATATCCGTATATTGTCTAATTATTTTACGTAGTACTTAGTATTTCTTAGGCACCTTATTTTATAGGCAATAAGACAAATACGAGATGCCACTTTTATTAATAATATATCAGCTCAAATTGTCTATCCTAATTTGGGTTATGTCTGACTTAGGATGTTTTTTCTTGGACTAAAATTTGCTGGTCTGCTATGTTTAAGTCTGATCAGGTCTGGTCTGGTCTGGTAATTGTATGATCTTTGTGTACTTTATAACTGCGGAAGTCTGGTCTGATCTAATCTGATTTGGTATGATATGTTTAAGTTTGATCTGGTGAGGGATCGAAAACAGTCAAGTAAAAACATTATCAGATGTCTATTTTTTATTTAATTTATGATCCTTGAGACGAATTTTTCAAAAATGACAAATTGCCAAATTAAATGGCTAGCTGCAGCTTACTATCCGCCTTCCTTACATGACGTTTGACAAATTTAACGCGGATTGAATGCCAAAGGAAACTGAATTGTAGAAAGACTAGATTGTTTTTGACAAGTTCAAATTAAAGGCGCCTAACAATTCAACGCCTTGCTACTTTTACAAAATCATTTATTCTTCAAATAAATAAATAAGTAACAACACAAACTTCTATTTTTTTCCTCCAACTCTCAGCCCTACCAAGAAAGGTCAAGGGTTATCCTAGTCTTATTCTGTACATATTATGTAAATATTATGTACTGAAACAAAATTTATATATTCTACTCTTATTTTGTTAAAGTTTTTGAGAATTACACTTGATTAAAATGTTTGTGTCTTATTTTGTTTAAGTCATATCTAGTATACTACAAATCCAATTCAATGCCACTAAGAATATATACAACTTTTTATATAGCTTGTTGGAAAAGATATGACTTTTTATATTTTGTTTAAGTCATATCTAGTATACTACAAATCCAATTCTAAGACTCTTATTTAATTTAGACTTCGTTTACAAAATATTAGAGAATCTTGTTGTATGTTATTATGTTACAAAGTATGTATAAAAGAGTAGGTATAGATTAAATGGAAAGCCAAAATATTCTTCCAGTCCCCTATAGTGATCACCGATTTTGTTTAATTATTTATGAGTAACTGACTATCTTTGTGTATAAGGTGATTGAAACTTCTTACATTAAATAATATAGACGATTTTCCATACAAAGAGATCTTAGATGACAAATGAAGGGACTACTGATACAATAGAAGCACCAAATAATTAAAATGGAATATATGTTTCATAATTTATATGTAGTACGGAGTATGTTGCAAAAGAAGAAAAAAAACTATATGAAGTATTAGTGTATTTTAAAATGTCAAATAAAGTGGCGGCATTAATAAATTTATTGTTAATGAATCAACTTCTCTTTGTTTTCATTGTTGCAGTTTACAAGGCAATCACCTTAAATTAAATGTTGGCAAAACAATTATCTTTGATGAATGTCAATGTCGGCAAATTCGAAGTTATCTAGCTAAAATTTGAAAAAATAATATAATACGAATTGCATCGTGATACGTATAAAAAAAGTGTCGTTAGCGAATGGCGATGAGCCGATGACGGCATATATGAAGTTATCTAAAATTTGAAAAATATGATTTAATATGTATTACATCGTGATACGTATGCACAAGATAATTCATTGAAAAATCGACGAGATAAAATGACTATATATTTTCTCACACGAATAAAAAACAAAAGTTGGGGACTAGTCAAATTTAATGACTGAACTAAGATACAAATAACATTGATTCTAGATCTCTAGATACCAAGTCTTCCCCTAGTCAAAAGTTAGGGTAGAGAACTATAAAGTGAAAATTCATTCATAACACTACTAAAAAACAGCCTTACAGTGACACTTATATAGTGACACTTTAGTGATACAACGACACCAATGACACAAAAGTGTCACTATTTTCTAACACAAATATATCAGCATCATACGGTGACACTACGATTTAAATTTTTACGGAATACTTAAACTGTTCTAGTTATGGGCCTGCGGTTTCTAACATTTCTACACTTCTTTTTTCCCTCCCATAAATCAAGTCTTTTCCCCTTCTTTCTACTTATAAACCCTAACTTTTCTTCTTGAGCTCAATCGAATCAATGACCGTCGTCCTTGGTCCGGCCGCGTGACACCGTCTCCTCCCAGCTCTTCTTATTCAACCAATCGAGCGGTTCTATCCCACTGAACCTAACCCTAGCTACGACCTCAGAGATCCATCGATTTACTCCTCTCTTTGATCGATTTGCTCTCTGGACACAGCTACGTGGTTTGGACACAGCTTCGACACTCTTCTAGGTGACGATTACTCTTCTTCTCGACCGACGCATCTACTTCACTCTATTCTTCCTCTCCAGTTTATGCAATATGCATCACGCCCCTTCTTCCTCGCGTAGCAACGAACATGATCTCCGCGACTCCGCCTATCCGGCCACCAAGTGCTCAGTAACCCCGACGTTTTTGGGCATTCTGACTGTATCTCTTTCATTCGGTGTTGCACAGAGTTCTTATTCCTGGTAGAGATTTTTCCAAGTCTCACATTTCATGTCTTCTTTTAATGATTTCACCTTTAATTTTCCCACTTTGTATGAGATATTTTATCATTATTGTTTTCAAATTGAATGAAATTTTCAATCTTAGATGTTGGTTTTCTTTCCCTCAACTTATTGTTTTTATGTCGTTTGAATCTGGAAGTAGAATGTGAATATTTAGAATTTGAGTATGACTTTAGCATCAGGTGCTAAAGTCCTAGGGTTGTTCACTGCATCACTGGTTTTATTTAAGTTCAATTTTTCAGTTAAATCTTGGAAGAACCCTACTGGATAGGTTTGGAAATAGGGGTTGCACTTGAAGGAAAGTTCTGGGCGAGGTTGTTCAATAATGGTATCTTTTCCATTTAATTTCTAGAAAACTTAACTCCTGAGATATTCTTTTTATTTATAGGTAATACAGAGTATGTGTTAACAAGTTCTTGAAATAAAAACTCATTACTTTAGTTGTTATAAAAGTGAAAACTTTCTAATATTTGATCTACCTTTACACCTACTATGTTCTAATACTCTGTATTTGATTTCATTGTATTCAGTTTTTCAGTGAAACAACTGTGTATATGTCATTCTGAATCTGATCCCACCACACAGATAAATGAAATTGTAAGTGTGTATACGTCATTCATAAAGAGTAGCTCGTTCAAGGCCATTGTCATCTTGTTCCTTCTCTTGATACTGTCCATAATTGATGTCCTTTAAAAGGCTCTAGATTTTTAATAGAATGCACAAGAAATGAATTTTATATATTGGTGTGCTTAGATGATTAATTAATTTCGAATCATATTGCAGGAAGTCAAAGTGAGATAGTTTTTGCTAGAGTGGTATTTAGAACTCTTTCTGCTGGAAGTCAAGGTTAGTTGTTCATCACATTTTTATTTGGATTATAAAACATACTTAGAGTTCAATACATAGTTCATGAGTGTGTCAACAATACAATATTAAATGCATAATCCGATTGTAAAATCGTAGGAGTTCTTTTAACAAGCTTCTATCCCTACTTTAATCCCTATGGCACATTTCTTCTTAGTCTTTTCCTCCTATCTCATTGTTGACGTGGGTGTAAGCTAATTGATGAAAATTATTTCTATGGTAATAATTTCTAT